GTTTTGCCACCATCACCATTGCCAGCCTGGGAATAAAAGGAACTCTGTTTGTTTCCTCGACTTGCAGACAGGTTGTGCTAAGAGGTGCCATCCCATATCCAGGTGTCTTCACACCATTTAACTGGGTTAAAAAAGAAAGCTGTTCTCTGTGCTAAATTGCTTCCTCACTTCACAAGATGTGAAAGTCTTTTCTCTCTCTCTCTCTCTCTCATGTGTCCATGTTTCACTCCTTCTGGGGAGACAGATGGTTTTTTTTTTTGTTTTGTTTTTTGTTTTTTTAATGCACTCTGCTCCTTAAATACTATATCTGAGACAAATCAGGTCATGCAGAGCCAGGCCCACAAAAGCTTTGAGGTGACTCAATCCTGTGAAATCAGTGAGAATCAGGTGCCTAAATCTCATTGCAAATCAATTGAATGATGTCAGTCAAATATATTTTGTACAGTAGTCAAGATTAGAGCATTATGGGCTGATGTGTACCTTCCTCAGAGGGCTGACGAAGAAAGGCTGAGGGAGCTGGACAGGTTCAGCCTGGGGAAGAGAAGACTCTAGGGAGATCTCATTGCAGCCTTCCAGTATTTAAAGAGAACTTACAAACTAGAGGTAGACCAGCTTTTTACACAGGCAAATAGCATTAAGACAAGGATGAATGGTTTTAAACTACATTTTTTCACTTAGAGGATGGTGAAGTGCAGAAAAAAAGCTGCCCAGAGAGATTGTGGATGTCTGATCCCTGCAAATGTTTAAGGGCAGGTTGGATGGGGCCCCGGGCGGCCTGAGCTGGTGGGTGAAAGTCCTGCCCACGTTAGGGGCTTGGAACTGGATGGGCTTTGAGGTCCCTTCCAACCCAAGCCATTCTATAATTCACCCCACAAATACCACCAATGATTAGCTGATTCAGCTCTGTTTCACCCAGTCAACTGAAGGAAAGATTTCCACATGTACCTTAGTGCAGGTGTCATGAAAATTGAATTACTTAAGGTCCATATATCTTTTCACTAAATACAAAGTTGTTTTCTTTTTGTTTGTTTGTTTTTTAAAATGAGAGTAACATATTTTCCGTTTAGCTGGTCTTGGAGGTTAAAACAGAGATTTCTTCATTATTTGTTATATTTGATACCTCTGTAAGCTCTGGAGATGGAAGGTAGAAAAGTAGCCAGAGATTAGAAATCTTGGGGTCTTGGGTCAATGAAATTTCCACATTTTTATTACTTACAAACTAACCTCTACCCTATGTCCTAAGCATTCATTTCTCATCTACTACTCTGAGCTATGTGACAGCAAGGAAAGTCTCACTTACAGGAACTGTCTGCCTGGGAAGGAATGTCCTAGAAAGCTGGAGGTGTGGCAGACAAGCAGATTGAGATGGTGAGAGGATCATTTTTCCAGGATTGGAAAGATGATGTGGGCTATGCAGATAGAGACATAAATGCTACCAGAATGTTTCATAAAGGGAAAGCTTTGTATATTGGCTTCAGAGGGTATGTGGGGATGGTCTAAATGAAGAAGGACGTGTTTGGCTCTGTATGTACCTATATATGAACCAGCCTTAGTATTTTCAAGTTCCATGCACATTAAGAATATCTTGAATATTTCAATATTAAGTATTAGTGTGAGTTTATACATAAATTTATAGATGAAGGGGGTGCATGACTGAATAATAATACATGAGAACTTTCCTTACCAGACCTGCTTTCTTGGCTAGGGGCTCTTGAGTCTGTACAAACACTAATAATAATTGTCACTTTTGTACCAGAATACTACAATATTATGACCAAGATGTCATACATGCATGGCGGATAGATAAGACAGATAGATTTCTCATTTTCCACTGCAGTGCTTTTGAATACATCCTGGCAAGGCTGACTCACCCTTTTAGCTTTCGAAGGAAGACAAATTGCTTTCCAGGAATTTCATTGTGTACAGGTTATTTCTGAGCAACTTCCTTAATTAAACCTTATCTGTTGTGTGCGTAATCTACAGATGAAGAGCCCTCATTTTTTTTGTGAGAACAGAAGTTTACCTCCAAACAATCTGCTTCTTATCCAACCCATTGTTACACAACATGACTTACATACTAGATGGATATCGTGTCCTATCCCAGAAGTAGCTTCAGGCCAGTAGCTCAAAATAAGTCATTTCAAATGCCTAGGATGCTGCAGTGGAGAAAAACTGAAGTGGGATTCTTGAGGGCTACTAAGAGCCATTGGAGTTGACACAGTCCAACTATTAGAACATTGTTTTTATTCATGACCTTAAAACCATGTCTGACCCAGCCTCATGTTCCTTATCTTTTATATCTGAATTGATGCTGTAAGCGCACTGTTGGAAAAACATTCTGCAATTGTGAACTTTGCAGTCTGGCAGGGACTCAAGCTGATGTCATCCCAATTGGGATAAGAGGACAATGATGTCATTGGAATAGCAGTGAGCCTTCTAGCTCTGAAATACAGTAGTTGTGGTTGTGAGGTTCCAGTCTGACATCCCAGAAGAGGAAAAACACTCTCCCACTCCTGGTCAGGTTAAGGGTGGTTGGCCAGTGAGCCCTGCATGCACCTTGATCAGAACTCTTGTGTCAGGAGAATCCATCCTGCAGCAGGAGGGAGAGAAGCTCTCGCAGAACTGCATAGCCCTGGTGACAGGGTATCTGCTGTGGAGGAAGCTGTCACCAAGATATGCAGCAAGGCTACATTTCATCACAGCTGTCCTAGTGGCAAGAGATCTTTCAAGCAATAATTTTCACCTTTTGTCCAAGGACTGAAATTTTGCCACATTCACTATTGGCTTGACAGGAATCCGACATATAGTACTGGATCTTTAGGATCTTGTAGTTATTTTTCCAGTTTCCCAGTCATGCTGCTGTTTGAAACTGATCACAGACCTTTGTGAGTGTCAAAGCTAGGGCATGTGTTACTTGGTGCTAGAAAGGAATATCTATGTCTGTGTATCTGTGTCTGTGCTGCTCTGGCTTCAGTGTAATGCGTATATATTCAAGCTCTCCTTAAACCAACTTGTCTACACAGAATCACAGAATCATAGGGGTTGGAAGGGACCTCCAGAGACCATCGAGTCCAACCCCCCTGCCAAAGGAAGTTCCCTACACCAGGTCACACAAATAGGTGTCCAGGCAGGTCTTGAACATCTCCAGAGAAGGAGACTCCACAACCTCCCTGGGCAGTAGTAATGTTGCTGCAGCAACATAGGACTTAGTGGAAACTGCACAGCTTGCCTGAAGAGCAGGGTAGGTGAATTTGTGCAGAACTCTGCTCTGCTCATCTGGGTCACATTGCAACATCAGCTGTGCTGGTGCATTCAGACCAATCCTTAATCCTACACAGCTGTGCGGAGCAGCTCTTTTCCATGATTATTTGGGGCTGCTAGCTCCTTGGCCACCATCTCTACTGAAATTCACCCCTGTTTATCTGGAGAACTGTCCTGCTTGGACATCAGGAGAGGGGACCTTGTCCTCACTGGTGGCCCCAGAAGGATGTGGTGGGTACTTCTTGCTTACTGGTGGCCAAATATTGGGTTTGCTGGCACTGCTTTGTTCACATGTGCATTCCCATCTGTCTCACATCAGTGTTTTCATTATGCATGGAAACGATCCCTTACAGTCTGTTTCTCAGTGACTGATGACTGTAGCCAGTCCACTGTCACCCTCTTCACATGCACTGTTTTCTAGCACTATGTGTTGATACAGCAGTGTCTCCTCCCTTATTCCAACTGCAGTCTTTTTGGGCGTATTTATGAACTTCTGGTTCTGGTCCTTTCCCCAGATGGCATCTCTCAGTTGCAGTGGCCTGAGGAATAGTTTCTTCTTCCCTTGGAGAAATAAACACTTGCTATCTTTCTCAGCCAGCTCATTTTCTTTCTTTTGTGACCCGAGCCAGCATTGGAAACCAGGCACAGACAGCAAAGAGGCCAGTGCCTCTGCTTCTGAGTAGCTCTTTTGAATGCTTCCCAATGGGAATATTAATAGAACAGTGTCCTTTCATCAGTATGCAGCTGAGCTGCTACTTGCCCAAGAACAGCTAAAGTTATTGGGGTGAAGAATGGTATGACCTGTAAATTCAGTAGGATTTTACAAACTGAGCATTATCTGTCTGCAGCAGACCAGCATGAAGTATGGGCTCTGTTTTGGTCCTATTTAAGTCTTTAATGCATGGCTTAAGTCTAAAAAACAGGAGGAATGCTTGTTCTTTGTTGTAAAGCCGTGTTCTACCCAACAGTCAGAGAAATAGTCATAATCTGCTGAAATTGGAAACACTGATATCTATCTGTCCATTATTTTTACAATGAAACCAAGAGTGGGGAGCAGAGAAAAAGGTCTCAGAATGCTTGCAGGCAGGCCGTTTGTAAGAAGGATATGTATGTGTGCGTAATAGCTTGCATCTGTGGCAGGGCGGGTGGCAGTAATGGTCTCTGCAGGCAAATCTGAGTGAAAAAGCTATAAAGCATGAAACACTCGATGTAGCTAGAGTCACACACCTGTGAAACAAAGTTTCATTAAAAAGGAACAAAGAGTTGAAGGCATAAGAGGATCTGGAAAGACTGTGGGACACCCCTGTGGGAGAGTGTTTTAAAAGTAACTGGGGGAAAAAAATGGAAAATTTCAAAATGGATGGGAAAGTAAATCATGCCAGCAGTGACAGTCCAGCTAGTGCAAGCCTTTCCATGCAGGCAAGTTGCTCTAGCATCGCTAGCAGAGATGATGGCAAATTCCTTTTGCCAATCCCCTGTGTCTGCCCAGCCATGAAGTAAGAGCCACTGTCCTCAAACCCATAACAAATGCAATGGCTGCTTCCAAACTTGTCACCTGTTAGCAGGAGGGGAGGGTGGGAATTTCCCAATTAAAGACGAGTCTGGGCTGTGTCTGGAGTAATCTTATCTAATCATAGAATCACTCAGATTGGAAAGGACCTTAAAGATCAAGTCCACCCACAACCTAACCATACTACCCTGTTTTCTCCTCTGCCCTCCTTCCTTGTTCTTCTTCTAAGGTTGAAAAAAATGAGGACGGGGACCAAAAGATTGAGCAAGATGGCATCAAACCAGAAGATAAAGCTCATAAGGCAGCGACCAAAATCCAGGCCAGCTTCCGTGGACACATAACAAGGAAAAAGCTCAAGGGGGAGAAGAAGGCAGATGCCCCCGCATCCGAGTCTGAGGCCGCCGACAAGAAGGATGAAGGCCCTGCTGGCGGAGCGGCTGAGAACAAAGAGAGTGAGGCTTCTGCTGCCACAGAGGCCAGCGCCGCCGACAGTGCCCAGCTGGATGAGGGCAGCAAAGACAGCAGCGCGCCAGCAGAGGAGAAAAAAGGGAACGGAGCCGCTGACACGGGCTCAGAGCAGCCAGCCCCGCAGGCTGCCACTCCTGCCGCCTCCTCGGAGGAAAAATCCGCTGCCGCCGCCGAGACAGAAAGTGCCACTAAAGCTTCCACTGATAACTCGCCATCCTTGAAGGCTGACGAAGCCCAAGACAAAGAGGAGCCTAAACAAGCCGACGTGCCTGCTGCTGACACCACTGCCACCACCACCCCTGCTGCAGAGGATGCTACTGCCAAGGCAACAGCGCAACCCCAAATGGAGACAGTGGAGAGCAGCCAAACCGAAGAGAAGACAGGTGAGTGAGCGCCTCGGTAGGGAGTGGGCCTCTCCAGAAATGGGTGCCTGCCTTGTTCTCATACAGATGGCTCCGAGACCTCTGATTCCATCACAGGAATCAGAGTGAGACTTAAAGACAGAATGCCTTCGAAAGGTTTTCTGGGTGGTGGATGTGCATGCTCTTCCTTAACACCCTCTCTTCTGCTTCCCAATATCTTTGGAAAAACTGCATTTCCTCTTGAGGCTCTTGTTCCTCTAGGTAGGTGGATGTGCCATCTAGCCCTTTTCTACATGGTGGCGAGAGAGGGTCAGTCAGCTGATAATAGGATCAGGTAGGAAAGGGAAGATTAAAGGCCCTGACAGCTCAATGAATGAGGACTGGAGAGAGAGAGCTGAATGCAGTCAGTCTAGGAAGTGTTTTCCAATTCTTTCTCCTAACCAAGCTGCAGGTCTGTTTAACTAGTTCCCTGGGAAGAAGTCAAAAGTTTGGAGAGGCAAAAGTGAACATTTTTGACAGTAGCATATTGCTTGCAAACCATAAAGAGCAGTTACTGAATTATGATACTGAGATAGGTAGAAAACACATCAAAGACCTGAGGACGTTTTTGCTCTTGGTCTTTACTTTCTGTAAATTATCAAAGAAAAACAACATAAATAAAAGAAACAGTACATCAGAGGCAGGCACCACATGAAACTTGATCAAGAGGCAGTGCAAAGTGTAACTGACCTCCACATTCATGAGGCACTCAACTGGGATCAATAGTTTGTTGAGGAAAAAAAATGTAGGGTACCACCTTGATTTTCAGAAGTGGCCTTTTATAAATGTTAGAGAGCATCTTCATCCAGACTTGCACTCACTGATGTTTTTTCCTCATTCCATTTGTTTGAATGACTTCTCTTCCAAAATGATAAATCCAATTCTACAGTTAGGCTTCCAAGCTTCATAGCTAACTCAGAGCTTCAGGTGACTGCACCCACTCAGCAAAGTGGAAAGATAAGGAAGTACTTATCCAAAAGGACAGATAAGTACTCAGAGAAGAGCTCGTGCAAAATAATTCTGTTTTAATGTGCAGACAAGGGGAACTGCTTTGAGGAGTGTGACTCTAAGCTGAAAGTACATAACAGCAAAGGGATGCTTATTTTACTTCCTTTCATTTAAGCATTTCTAGAGATAAATCTTGAATTTGCATTCAACCATGTTGGCTCTTGGTGGTCTCCATCCCTTCTGTCTTTCACTTTATATGATGAGTTGAGTTGCAAAATAAATGGTATATGATTTGAGAAATCTAATTTGGTATGTTGCATGCTGTACTTGCATTGTATTTGTACACAAGCAAAGGTATAAATGTCACTGGTAAAAACAGTGTAATTCAGTGTTTTGGAGTCTTGTGTACACAGAATAATGAGTGCAAATTAACTTTCGGTTAAGATTTGGAGTGTCTTATTCCTAAATAAGAATAGCTATTCTGCTTTGAATTAACATCATATTTTTATTCAGTGTAATATTCTGTAATGAATAGAGATAGGCAATTCATAGCATTAAGATATTTCACTTGCTTAATTTTACCTGTTTTCAATGGTCAGTAATCAAATAATGTTTTCTTTTTTTGTACTCAGTATTCTGAGTCATTTGCAGATATCTTCCCCATGGTCTTGTTGCCCTTAACATCATTTGAAATGAGAATATTACAATCTAATACACATTTGCACATGATACTGCTGCTTATGTAAATAACTAGCCAACAGAGTAAGTTACAAAATCTACAATCAAATAAGTGTTTAAAAATGAGCTTTCAGTGATTATTTGATTGTTCAAGGCCAGTATGTGCATCTATTCAGACCCACTTAATATGCATGCAAGCTTACAAATGTTTGCAGAAAGCAAACATGGAAGGTGTGTGGCCACAGTTAAACTGATATTCTCTTTAAAATGTTAATGAATATAGATTATTTTTTTTTTGCTAAATTCTTATTAAAGGATGGTATCAGCCTCCTAGCCACAAAGTCAAACAGCTGGGCCCCAGAGCAATGCAAGAAGGAAATGAAGAAGAAAAACCCACAGATTTAATAGGCCTTGTCTGTCTCTTTGAGGATGCTAGGTTGTGTTCTGCAACATGCTCTATAGCACAATGTCGAGAATAGTAAGAAGCAGCTCTCTCTTCATAGCATCTTCCACAGAAGAGCATCGTCACAGTATCAAAGATCCCACAGACAGACAATGTTTCATGTTAGGATGCCTAAATTCTCTTTTGTTTATCTTAATTCTATTATTCTCTCTCATCTCTTTAAAACTGTTTCTCTCTCTTGGCACTTACACCTTTCATGGTCTTACAGACATGTGTCTCAACCTTTCTCCCAGTTTTCACCCAGTAAACATATCATTCACTGATGGTTGCTGGCATGACTGAACTAGTTGATTGTTCTTGGAAGAGGGAGGGCTACCAAACATCTGCCACTCTGGTACTCTGCTAGCCTGGGGACAGACCCTGTTTCAGCTTCATCAGTTCCCTTCTCCCAGAAGTTGTCCCCTTGGCTTTCAAAGGTCATCTCTTATCATTTCTGTGATCGAAGACTGGCACAGTAGTAGAATGCAGTCTCAGGCTGCCAAAAATAAATCAAATTGGCTCCTCGCCAGTGTCATTGGTTGGCTGGTTGCCATAGCATGCTTGGCTGCTACTACTGTGAGGCTTGCCGACCGTGCTACTTTTGTGCAGTCATGTTCATCTGCCTTGAATTTTACTACAGGCTGTAGATACAGGCTATATTGTGTTATCTGTAGATATCTTCTATGGACAAACACAAGAAACAGTCAAAGAGATTTTTTATTTTTATCAGAAGACAAGACAAAGAAGACAGGAAGAGAGGAAAAGACTAATTAATGGATAAAGAGGACTGCATGATTTTTAAATGCTTAATATTTAATGTTTCTGGAGTGGGAGGGAGGCTGGGTGATTCTTCATACAATCCTCTAATTCCCCTGACAGACCTCAACCCTTCTTGTTATTCAGTTCCATGTACTCGACCTGTATATTGGTAGTGGCTTAGGAAATGACTTCACCCAATTGTCCTGCATCCATTATTAGTTGTTCTCATATCATGGGCATTCTCAATTGTAAAGTAGGGCAGTTTCTAAGCAATCCTCAGTGAATCGTCTCTGAGAAAAGTAGGAAGATTCCAACCTGAGGACACTATGAAATGAGTCACTGGGCTTTGTTCAGTAGCAATGCGGGACTGAAGTAAGAAAGACATCGTTCTGTTCTCTTCATGACTAGTGGATGACTTGCATGTCAGAAAGGTATTCTCTTACTTGAGCTTTCTTGCCAATACTTATTTTTGTTGACTTTCTAGTTATGATCCAACTTTTGCCCCTTTAACGTTGGAATTATGCTTAGAGAAATTGCCTTGAATGACAATCTACTCAACAGGTCAAAATTCAAAAGTGACTGGAAGGAATTTATACCTTACATATGGATGGAGAGGTGAGATATTAAATCTAGGGTGCACTAACTTAAATGTGGAGAGTGTCCATCAGTGTCATTGGAAAGAATCTACATTAATACAGCTTTGAAGTGAGATCAGCATCCAGCACAGCAAATTATAGAAGAAGGGATACTGTGAGCCTTATGAGGAGAAGAGGTGAATATCACACAATGTTAGATTCTCTTTGTAATTTACCAGGTTTTCAAGGCTCATCTCCAAACTTGGCTAGCTCTCACTTCAAAAGCATTCTCAAGTTGTCAGGTAAGGATACAACAAAGCCCAGAAATGTGAAAGAGTAAATTGTGTCTAAGGAAACAAATTGGTCTTCTTTTGTTGAGCAATGAAGATTGCTTTCTCCTGCTTGATGAAATAGCTTTACAATGGGGTAGTTTCACGGCTGAAATGAAAAATCAGCCAGATGTCAATTGTCCTGCATGCGTGCAAGCCCACAGTTCTCCCTGGGGCCCCGTACCCTGCAAGCAAGGAACACAGGGAGGCACCATGTTCACTTCCTCAGAGGCAGCAAGTCCCTGCAGATCCTTTTCCATGATTTATAGCTGAATAAGTTCTTTGTTTATTGCTCAATCAGTGTATTGATTGAAGGACAATAGTTGCTGCATCTAGAGAGCACTGGCTGTATAAAGATTTGGAAGGGAAGACTGTCCATTGTCATGTAGGAGCTAGAGTACAGCCTGCACTATGCAAGAGGATTGCAGTTGTATAACTGGAATTTTAGTCTTGGCTTGTGGGTAGCTGGCAGGAGACAGAGCAACCTCACTGACATTCCTGTTTCACTGGAGCTTATCTCCGCTGCTACACCTGGCAGCTGAGGAACACAATGCAAATGCACTAGTCCTCCCATGAGCACCCCAGAGGGAACAACTCTAAGCAAGCATACCAGAATTTTCCTGTCTGTAGTATTACTCAAGCAAAAAAATAAGAATATAAATGCAATTTAGGTTACCTGCACCATGGTTCAGGGTGACAAAGTATGTGCCTAGTCCTCAGCTGCTCTGAAAATTTTAATCTTTGCATTGTGCCTAGGTGGATATGTGGATTGCAGTCCCTGTGAGGAGCAGAGTTTTTCAGACAACCAGAAACTTGTAATAGATGCAGATTTTCTTCTCTGTTGCAGAGTGAAATATTATCTCTGGTGCCATGTATGTGTTAAATTTGCCATTTTTAAATGAGATACTGCTTGCCCGGTATACATGTAGGCAGTATAAAAGACCTGACCATTTTTAATGAAATTGTAGGTGGCATTAAGCATATTTACTGATACCATGTGGGATGACTCTGGAAAATGCCTCCCAAGGAAAGCAAATTAATCATTGGTTTAGGCCAAGGAGGCCTCAGTTAGAAAGAGTGGTTAACTGGTTTATTTTGTGAAGGATGGAAATTATAGGAAAGATGACACCTTTTAATGCTGAGAACCACAGCTGTTGCAGTATCAGGTGAGCCACTCCTCACTGATCATGGCAAACTGCATGGCTTTCCTGTCCATGGGGAGGTTGTAAACAACAGCCTCACTATTGTTTG